CAAAGAAAAATACAAAAAGAGATACACAAAACAGAAAATAGGGGGGGGAGGGGGTTGAATGCAGTGTTGAACAGGTGGGTTTTGAGTGAATCAGATGGATTGGGGTAATGAGTTCCAGGGGGTGGGTGCAGCAATGAAGAAGCCTCTGCCGCCCCAGGAGTTGAGGTTGGTCCTGGTGGGAAGGGACAGGAAGTTGGCAGTAGCAGAGCGGAAAATAATCTAGATGCTTCAGTAATGAACAATTACAGGCCCATATCAAACCTGCCATTTCTAGGTAAAATCATTGAAAAAGTTGTTTTTCATCAGTTGAGTAATTTCTTGCATTTAAATAACTGTTTGGATCTGTTCCAGTCAGGCTTTCGTCCAAACCACAGCACTGAGACTGCTCTTGTGAAGGTCTTCAATGACATCCACTTAAACACAGACAGTGGCAGAATTTAGAAGGATGCTATGTTGTCATATTGTGTTAATCTGTCATCCACTTCAGCAGATACCAGACGCCAGGTAGCAGCAGCTCTACCTACCCCTGCCACTGGTCCACTTCACCATCTCCAACCCGGCGACTTCGTGCTGGTCAAGGATTTCCGGAGAAAGAGCTGGAAATCCAACCGTTGGAAAGGTCCCTACCAGATGCTTCTCGTCACCCAGACTGCGGTCAAGAATGCCGAGAGACCCACGTGGGTCCACGCCAGCCACTGCAAGGTCGTAGTCACAGGCCAGGAGAGACGGTAGAAACAGACCACAACAAGTGACGTGCCAAGTCACCACCAGCACCACACTCGCACCACTTACACCTAATCTCACACTGCACAAACAGGATGTCATGAGCGAGTGCCAGCTAAGCTGTTTCATATGCCTCTGGTTCCTCGTTTGTGCTATTATTGTGTGGGGCCTCATTGACCTTGTCACAAAGTCAAGAATGATTATTGACGAGGTCTGAACTATCCATAACAACTGTCGACCAAGTTATCTGGCTTTCGTTTGGAGGTGTCATCCAGGGAGGAACCTCAACTCCTCAAGTGTCAAGGATTTACATCGGATAGCAACATGGATTTAGGAGTCTACACCGGAACAACAGATGGGCCAG